TATATATATATATATATATATATATATGTGTGTGTGTGTGTGTGTGTGTGTGTGTGTGTACATATAGATATATGTGTGTGTATATACATATAGATATATATAAGTACACGTGCAAGATGGTATGATAGTGCGAATAATTGGCCAACCGGATCAAGGCGTCCGATCGAGCTGAAGTGTCGTACCAACTGGCTCGGGAGAGCCTACTGCAGTGAGGTGAAATGCTCGTCGATCCGGGACGGCCGGTTGGAGCGAAGTGACATGCTCGTGCGATGCAAAATGCAAAATTCAAAATGCAAACGTTCACATGCAATATGGAGCCATCCCCGTGCTAACGACCTCACCAGGAAGGCTAGGGTCAACATATATAAAAATGGCGATTGCCACCTTTGCTTCGGCGAGGCCGGTGGGGAAATTCTCCCCGGATCTCCAAGGGGGGAAGTTCTCCGCATTGTCGTGAAATGAACTAGCGACGACGCTTTTCCAGATTTCACGACACCATCTGCACTTTACAAAATGAGCTAACGACTCGCATTTTCTCATTTTGCAAAGGCTTATTCTTCGATCTTTACAACAAGACCGAAACAAACAAAGCAAAGGGAAGCAAAAGAGGCTCCAATCCTCAGGATTTTTGTGCTAAGATTGACAATCAAACAGGATTCACTCGGCTATCGTAGGGGATTTAGCTGCGTAAGGAAAATCCTATCCTAAAGGCCGCCTCTAGGAAAACAAGTGATCCATCACACAGATGCGTCGTTACGCCGGCACTTGCCGACGCACGCATCCCGTGCGGGCGATCGAACCCGCACGCCTAACGCCACTACAACCTAAGGCTAGCTAGGAAATAAAGTGCGGAGGGGAATAGGAGTTATACCGTCGCGCGGTTTGCACGAAGCCCAATGAAGTCCGGGAAGCTTTTTGCACGCAATCCAAGACTCCTGCACCCCTCCAAACGACGACGAACTCCGCTGTCCAGCAACGTCAGGATGCGCCGGCGAAGTGTTCGGCCGCC